GAGGACAGCTGCAGCCTGGAGAGCAGCGGGAGCAGCGGGACCCGGGACGCGGAGCCCAGCGACCCCCCGACGCCCCAGCCCGCCCCCGGCGACCTGGGCACGGCCGGGGGGATGCTGCTGGACCTGGCCGTCAAGCGCCCCGTGGTCAGGTCGAAAATCAAGGTAACCGCCCGCACCCCCACGTTCTCTTCCCCGGTGATGGGGTGACCCCGCTTCGAGGGCAGGGCCCGGCTGGGGATGCCGGGTGACAACAGTCCCTTGGGCTCTCTCTGCTAGAGGTGGCAGCACCCGTCTCACACACCGAGATGGAGGCCTGCAAGAGCGGCTGGCCGTAGGATGGCAGCGGCAGGGCAAGCCTCGTAAGCGACGTACCGTAATCTTCCAGTGCCCTTTGCCTCCCCTTATCCCTGCCTGGGACACGCTGCCCCTGACCTGCTTGGCTCGGGTCCCGCAGGAGCTCTGAACCCAGCCAGGAAGGACCAGCCCTGGCAGCTAGGAGTCATGCCCCACGGTGCGTGGGTGGATCTCGTTCCTTAACGTGGGGCCTCCCTAAAAGGCCACCTTCTAGGCTGTAGTCAAGCCTTTCCCAAGGGGGGGCTGTGGTGAATCTTCCCACCACCCCCCTACCATCTTGACTTATCAAGAGAGCAGCTAGGAAAAGGTCCTCCTCTGAAGCAGTGAAAGGCCATTGTCGCCTTGAGGTGGACCCGCAGGCTTGCTGAAATGAAGCAGTTATCTGTCCATTAACTTTGCTGAAGAGCCTCTCTGCGGCACGGGCAGGAGCTTGTACTGACTGGGTGTCCCCTGGGCAGAGCCGGCAGAGCAGAGCGGCGATTTCCCTCCCAAGGCTGAGAAGGCAAATCGCTCACGGGCTCCTCGTGGTACCTGAGAACCCAGGACCGAGCTCCCAAAGAGCAGTGGCGATGCATGGGGTGGAGGACCACGTCCATCTCTGAACATCCAGGGCTCCCCTCAGCAGAGGTGGAGCCAGGCCACCCCGGTGGTAGGAAGGAGGAGATGTGTTTACCGGTGGCCAGTTAACACCTCGTTAAACCCTGGCTGTTGCTTTGCTGGATGGAGCTGTAAAAATTCCCACTGTCTCTGCTGGGATGACAGACTTCCAGCCACCGTGTTATTAATCTCATGATTAACGCTAGGTTTTCACCCTGCTTATGTGCGGCCGCATAAGGTGGAGTCCTGCCTGTTGCCCAACAGATACTTCCCAGCCGGCTCCCCCTCTAGTTTCGCACCTCATGGCTTTGCAGCTGCCTTTTTTTTTTCAATCTTTCTTTACAATTTCAGGTAGCGTTGCTTCAGTAGTAAGCGAAGGAGGGGGATCGGGAAAAATAACTGGCTCTTCAGGAAAAAGAAACCCCAGACGTATTCCTCTTTATGAAGAGCTTCCCCCGCTGCTGTTTGACTTTAACCTACTTTGTATAATTTAACCTGGGCTATTAGCAACAGTCACAGTGAAACCTCGCTTCGGCAGAGTTGGGTTTTCTCAGCGTGCCACAGAAACTCCCCAAAAGCACCACGAGAGCCGATGGACTTGTGCACGCGGTGCCACCTGCTCTGCTGGCTTTCCCCCGGCTCGAGCGGCTAGTGGCGAGTGCGTCCGCTCCCCCGTGAATAATTAAAATAATAGTGAAGTATTTGCATCTTCCAGACATTAAGCCTTCCCCTCTGAGGAACACTTCCCGAGAGCTGAATCATCAGTGTCTCCCTTAGTCAAGTTAGGTCATGGTGTTGGCGCAATATTTTTGGTGTTAGGAGCGGGAATGAGGAGATTAACCCCTAATGACACTCTGATGTTAATTAACGAGCCAGGGGGACCAACGGGAGATTAGTGCCATTGTTTCAGTCTCTGCTGAGTCAGCGCAATGTGCCTTGGTTTATCTCGCCAAACCTACCTTTTTTTTTCACCGCTGGCTGGTTTTTGAGGGACCCATAGCAGCGGGAAGTGTGATTAGCGAGAGCACCACATGGGTATGACTTTGTCAGGCCAGGGAGGGCCTCCCGTCCCCACCCAGGATATTGGCTGAGTGCGGGAGCAAACACACGTGCGGCCCCGGGGAGAGGTGCTCGGAGCCCACGCGCGTGTGCTTACGGATGTGGCTGGACGAGGGTCCCTGCCTCTGGAAGGTATCCTGCGCACAGGCTTTGTTTTAACCCCTGAAGCCAAGCTGTCCAACGTCTGTGGCCGTCCCAAACCGTGCACGTTAAGTCACCCACCTGATTGCAAGGGAAGCGTGAAGGTTTCACCCGGCTAGAATCTCCCGAATGCTTTCACTTTTCGTTTTGAATATATCGCAAGTATTTTTTAATGCAACAATAAGCCATCCCTCCTTATTTCGTTTGTTTTCTGTTAATCTTTGTCATGTCGATGCCTACTCACCCTGGCCTCTTCCATTCCTTAGTTCACCACCGGCACCTGTAACGATGCTACGGTGCATAGCTGCGAGCTGTGTGGCAAAGGCTTTCGCTTGCAGCGGATGCTCAACCGTCACATCAAGTGTCACAGCCAGGTGAAGAGACACTTGTGCACCTTCTGTGGAAAAGGCTTCAACGACACCTTTGATCTGAAAAGACACGTCCGGACCCATACCGGTGAGAACACGTTCCCCGGGGGCTTGCGGGCGGCTCTGGGTAGCAGGAGGTGGGAGAGGGGGTGAGATGGGACAAGGATGGGGGGTGAGGGTAACCCGGCAAGACAACAATACAAAACCCAGGTAAACAACATTTGCAAAAAACAGCGGGGATGTGGTGGAGGAAAGGGAAAAACGTGAGTGTGGACAGATAAAAGCCCTGGGACTAACCAAATCTGAGGAGAACTAGTGAAATCCCTGTGAAGCAGTGTGGCTGCATGAGCTGCCATCCAGATCCAGTGTAGATGTGGCCGTGCGCTGCTGTGCGTGGGTCAGCGAGACCGGGATAACCCACCCGGGATAACTCACTGCACGTTATTGCGAGTCCAGCGTGTACCGGTGAGCATGGGCGGGCGGTGGATGAAAACGCTTTGCCCTCTAGAGGCAACGAGCAGCAGTTTCTTGTTTTTTTTGCGAACCTTCCTCGCTGGCCGTCCCACGGGATGGGGTGATGGCTTGGTTTTGGCACTGTCTGCAGAAACTGGCGTGTGGTTCACGTCATGCCTCCAGCTTCTTTAGGAAAACTAGGCAACACATCTGACTTCTGCTAACCCTGCGTGCCGCATCCCCGCCTGCTTCGGGCTACCAGCTCCCCCAATCCCCTTTCGGTGCCGTTTCCCTCTGCACGTCCAGCCCTCCAGTTTGGCCACCGGCCTAAACCATCTCCATTCACTTGTTGTGCGGGTCACAGCATGGGTTCAAAATCAGGGGCAGTGGGTTGAAAATCTCCCGACAGCAGATCCTGCTCTGGATTGAGGGGGGGGTAAAAAAGTTGCCTTTAACCTGGGCTAGTTCCCTCCTCCCTGCTTGCATCTACACCAGATGTACAGGCATAACTGAGGATGCTGTGATTCAAGCCCGTGATGGCACTGGAAGAAAGAAAAATCGTCCCTTTCCCTTCTCTGCTCACTCTTGCTCCCCAGTCGCTCCCCTGGGCTGGAGGGATGCATGTTCCATGACTGCTCTGCAGTGAGGTTGGTTCCTGAGCCCACCCCAAACAGCGGTGGTTGTGTTTCTTCGAATTGGATCGATTGCCTCAAATCCAGCTTACTGGTCACAGAAGTGCTTATCCTAACCTGGAGCAGGGAGAAGGCCGCCTTTTTGTTTCTCTTCCTTCTTTTTCTTAGTGGAAGTGATGGCTTAAATACCTATCAACCCCGTCCTCACCAAGCAAGACGCCTTCTGGCAGGCCAGGCTGGCTGTGCTCAGGAGGCTTTGAATTTGCGCTGTAGGGCCCGGAAGATGCATCCACCACATCTCCCGGACACGTTCCAGCTTTCCACATTTGCGTTACCTACGGGACCTTCCGATTATTTGGGCTCGCTCTGCAATGTCCCTTTTTTGGTTTAGACACCATTAACCAGGCACACCGCTAGAGGTGACGCAAGTACGTTGGTGGGCAGGAGTTGTTCCTTAGCAGTAGAGCTCACAAAAACAATGCTGCCCGTTTCGATGGGAAAGCATTGGCCGGAGCTAATGTTTTGGACTGTTTTGGTTTGTTTGTAAAGCTTCCATGCGGAAAGGAAAGCTGCTGGCTGCGAGCAGGGACCTGCCGCTGGGGTATGGCTGAAGTGTGGAGTCAGTGCTCCTGAAAGAAGTGATTTTGCAACCTGTCCCCTCATCCTTTGAGTTTCAGAAACAAATCCAAGAAGGTGTCTGTTCAGAAGCTAAAAATATATATATGCTGTGGCAGGTAGGGTTGAACTCACTGTGCAGGAGCGGCACCAATTTTGTGAAACTCTGGAAGGGAGGAAAGATCTTTGTGCTGGACAGGAGTGAAAAACCACTGTCCTGGAAATGTGAATCTTATGGTTAGATTGTCCCCAAATTTACTAGAAGAAATCTGGCATCACTATTTCTCCTCCCCAGTGTAAAGCCAGGATGAACACTCACATACATTGTATTTGCCTGGTGCCTTGGGTCACGGGGGGGATGAAGGCTGGCTGCAGCAGCGGTACTGATAGCATTTTGGCACGTAACTTTTCCAGGCTGAAATACGGCATCTCTGAAAGCGACGGCCTTTTTTATTTTCAAGTTGATTGCTGTTCAGGAAAGCTGGAAGTGGTAGTGTTGGCTTTATTTTGTAGCTACGGGTGCTCATCTACGTGTGCTTTACTGAATTTCGGTGTTCCAGTGAAAATTGTCGTGCAGCGTCTGTAACCAGACTGTGCAACAGTAGGGTAGTGTCAGACAGAGTCAGAAAGCCAAACATCCCAGTCTAGCTTCATGGCATAAGCAGACTTAAACATTAAAAAGTAACTAATACACAGTAATATCAAATTTTAAAATGATTCCTAAGTAATGAAGGTTCCCACTAATACACAGTAATATCAAATTTTAAAATGATTCCTAAGTAATGAAGAGGTTCCCACAGCCCTCGTGGGCTGTGCCATCCTGGCACTACCTCTCTTGTGCTCGCACTCGTGCCTGTGGAGCCCTGTTGGCATCAGAAACCAAGGACGGTGAAGGTTTAAATTGCCTTCAGATGAGCATGAAACGGCACCGAAAATACTGTTTGTAAAAGATACATTTTTGTGCGTGAATTCTAATGAAGATGTGGGGTTTCTTTCCAATTGCAGTTTAATGTAGCTGAAGCAGTCTCACAGCAGCAGGTGTTAGGAAACTTTAGTCTTGATAGTTTAAGCCGGTGCACTGGGATAACCTCTTTTTACAAGACTTGCAAAAATGCAGTCAAGATGCTGCTTATTGGAACTTCTAATCAGTTTGGATTTCTGACAGAAAGATCAGCGACTGCGAGGTGAACTTAACACACTGCGATTACAAAGTTACAACTGTCTGTTGAACATGTGTGTTTTGCCCTTTTTTGCCTGGCTATTACTCACCATGGGTCCAATCTTCCACACGCTCGCGTTTCACCTTCCATTGGGAAAAGAGAGAGGCTTAGGTAACCCCTTGCCTCAGTTTTAAGGCTGGTCTTTGCTTGAAAACTTACTGAGCTAGTCTAGTAAGTAAAAATCACAACTTTTTAAGGTTTTTTTCAAGCGTCAATAAATCCTCAGCTATTTGTCATTCAAGTACTGGGAGGTTGGTGGTGGTGGTAAAATGGATGCTCTTTACGGCTCAGTATTTTTATAATGTTGGTTGTCTGTACTGAACGAAACTGCTCGGGCATTCAAATCACAAGCCAGCCCCTTCTCCCTCCTCTGGAGACACACATACCTACTTCTTTCATCTTAATGCACTTCTCTCTTCGAACTTGGGCTTGTAATCTCAATCATCACATCTATATTCTGTGAAAGCGCTCTCACTCGTTTGAAGTACTGTGATCGCTGTACGTTCACGTTGGGCTGCCGTTCACTGAAGCCTCATTGAGCTTTGCTCACTAAAAGAGAAAAATTAACAACTCACCGAGATAAAAGATTTCATTCATTATAAAAGCCAAAATGAAGGGTTAGCTGAAACCGATAGTTTTACCTAATCACAGGACTTCAGAAAGTCGGGGCTGTAAAGGAGTAAGTTTTGCAAGAGTTGATAACGGCTTTTTC